TGACAAAATTTGACAAAGCATAGTGCAAAAAGGCGCATACAAAAACTTGTAGACTGAAACATGATGATGTTTCTAATCATCGTCTACCAACTGTACTCTTTTTTCCTACAGTAATCAAATCTGTTTTGTTTAGTACATAAGCCTTCCTGTACTATGATTTGCCAGATTTCGGTAGAATTATTTTTTCTTTCGCTTTAATAATGCCTTGCAATCCCCAATGTGCTTCTTTGATTTCATTTTCGATAAAAATTCTAAAACTAAATAAAGGGCAGTCTTTACGGAATACCCTGTATTATGGGGTTTAAAGTAGTATTTTAATTAGAAAGATAAGAAAGATCTCTGTCTGAATCTGATGTATAAATAATGGAAAGTTAGATGGTATTAAAAAATCCAAACCAGTTTGATGACTTAATTACCTGATGAGGCTTGAAGTTGCTTGACGCAGTTTCATACAGGATTCAAACAGGTTTTGAAAATCTGACTTTCCCTGATAGTGATTCATTAATTTTGATGAAATTTTTTTAACACACTTAAATGCTACTTTTAGAATTTATTGAATACATTTTGTTATTTAGTTTTTATCACGGATAATAAACACATACATTAATGGCGGTGATCACGGAATACACTGTGGTGTCATAAAAAGAAATATTTTCTTAAAAAATGCTTTTAATTTAGATAACTAAATTTAAATTACTGATGCAGTTAATCATTTGATTCATAGAGTATGATTTAAGAGCGGGTGAATTTTTGTTTCTTTTATATTTTTTTCAAACATTTTAACTATAACTTACGTGAAACCTTCTTGCATTTTTATTAAACTATGTAAAAAATATGAATTCAAATTAGAAATTTTAAACTGGTTTAAAATACTGCAGTAATCATAGCGATTGGTGGGAGGTAGTCTAAATCAACCATGGCCGTCAGTGGAGGGGTGGACGGGGTTATATTTGCCCTCCACAATAATTAGAAACATGTAAGAGCGCCCCTCAATATTTTAGACAAATGAAGAATATTTTCGAGAGTTATTATTGATTTAAATTCCCTAAAAATAAAAACAAAGAGATAAAAATAATTAATCTTTTTTAAAGTTATTTAGCACATTTGATGTTTTTTTTTTATTTGCGAAATTTAGAGAACTATTGTGAATGTGTAATTTAATCTTATCCCCTTCTAAAATTTAGCCCCTGCAACGCCCTTGGCATTGACCCTTGTTGGAGATTGACCACCTGGTACGAGTTAGAAGCATAGTACAGGATTTATTTAGGGTTAAATTCATTTTAAAATTCTATTTAGCTTAGCTTTACATTATTTGTCGTTTAGTAAGTTATAGTGTTAGTGTGCGGTGTGCAAAAAAGGGAACACCTTGAGCAACTTTTGAAAGTTAATAATTAAAAATTGAGCGGGAAAATGAAATGAAATTTTCTGATTGATTCAGTGGAAGCCATTGTTTTACATTTAACAATAGACTACTCAGTTTTGTCAAATATTTTAAAAATGACATCAGTGATGTTTGCCAGCTTATAGCTCTAATCAAAAAGGTTGTTTTTCGTGTGTTCTGTAATGCCTATTTATTTTTATTCGTTATGTCAAGCTATCTGAATGATCAACGTGATTGTTGTAGTGCAGGTGGTGCTACTTCACTAAATTATTGTTTTTAAAGCTACCAGAAACCACGTGTTATATTTTATTCGTAAGTTATGCTCTTAAAACTAAATAGTTTAAAATAAACGTTAATTGAAATAAAGCAAAATAAATAGAGAAATGGTACTAATTGTTGTAGAGAAACGTAAAAAAACGCCAAAACTATTATTGACGCCAATGATTAAGTTCGGTGGTAGTTTACTTATTGAAGTAAAAAAGTAATGTATTTACTAAGAAAGCAAGATTTGTTGGAGAGATGGCACTAATTCGCTTAAGAGAGATTTAAAAATCATAATTAATTATTAAATTCGAAGATCCTCAATTAATTTTGGTAGTAGGTACTAATTAAAATTAAAAAAAAATTTAAAAAATAAACTGCATACTTAAAAGCAAAATTAATGGAGGAAATGTGTTTGTTCGTTACGGTACTTATTCGTGAAAATTCGTCATAGTATTATTGACATCAATGACGTTTAATTTTGCTAATAAGCCCTGGCATTATGGTATTTGGTACAGTTTTAATATATACCAAATATACTCATATATAGGTATGAAGTATTTCACGAGAAAATTTACTGTCTGTGAAAGCTGCGCAAATACTGTGCATTTTTATAATAGAAACTGCGGGAATAGGTATTTTACTGCCCCTTGAAGGTATGAGTATGTAAGAAAGTTATTTGATTTTGATAAATTTTAAACATGAGTGTCACCAGATGATACTGAATGCAGTTAATTTTTATTTTTAGGGAATGAACTACTTTTTGCTTAATCTAATAATGTAAAACCACCGAGAAGGGCAACAAATAATAGTAAATAAATAAAATATGTTAGCTTTATTATTTGTATCGGTTTGTTTTTAAGTTTTGAGCTTGATTTTGCAATGTTGCTCAGATGTGATTCATTTATTTTACTTTATTTCACGGACGAGGAGCGAATATTCAACTTGTGTGTAATGTATGAAGTAACCCATCAAAAGTTATTGTAAAATAATAAACACCATAATATGGAGATTTTTCTACTTAGAATAACCGATGAAAGCAAATTAGTATATTGCGTCAGTTTCATGCGATATAAGCCAACCTAAACTCACAAATATTCCGAACTATTTCGAATTTTTTTGTTATGAATACGGATTTGGAATTGTCACTATAGCTTAAGTAAAGATAGTAGAAATTGTAAGCCAAATGTAAAACTAAACAGCAAAGTATAGAGTAAAATTTAACTGTGTGAATCGTGGTTATGAATTAAATGAAATCATAAGAATAATTTGCAATATGTTTAAATATTAAGAGCATCTGGATTTGCTTTAAGCAAAGCATAAAATTTTATTCATTTTTTTTCTTTTTTTTTTTAAATTTGAACTCTTTTAGTTATAAGTTAATTTTTTGAGATAATTGTAATATTTGCATAACCTCCTTAAATCTGTGAAAAAAGAAAAGAAAAATCTTTAAAATGTTAAAAAAATAACTTTAAATGACACTTAAGAAAAAGAATTAGAATATATTAAATTTTTTTTTTTAGTAGTAAAAATTTTTTTTCATAAGAGCGAGAAAGGAAAGTTAAGGCCGTTAGAAGAAAACTCCCAACTTGTAACTAACTTTAAATGATATCAACGTAAAACTTGTTTTTCTACAATGTAAGTTAGTACAAGGAAAAGCAACATTTACAGAGTTAAGATGTAAAATTTTTTAAAAAGTCTTTATTTCAGGTAATTTATTAACTCTCATCATTGTACATGTTTATAATGCAACGCAATAACAGTATTAATAGAATGTATTATTATTAGTGTTTTTTCTGTTTGCTTTCTTGAGTTTATAGCCTGAAAATTTAGAATAACTCGCTAAGAAACGAGAGCACTTAGAATAATATGCTTAGAATATATGTTCCTGTGGAGGCGAAATATTTTTATTATTCTATAATTCGGCACTGAAAAAAAAAAAAAACTATGATTAAATTGAAATACTTGATTAATTATTTGATGAGGATTTCAAAAACATTTAATATTCACCAAGTTATATATTTTTTAGTTATTTTTTTAAAGTCCTTCAAATTGAATCTTTATTAATTATTTTTTTAAGTAAATTTTTTATTGTATGAACGTAGTAGTATAAAAGTAATTTGATCCTAAAAATTAAATTATATTAACTATAAAAATTTACGTGTACATATAGAAATTTTACATGTAAGATAAAATAAATATACATGTGATACAAAGTTTAAAATAATGTTTCCATTATTATTTAATATTTTTAGGTTAAAACAAAATAATTAATTTTCATCGAAATTCTAATCAATATATCGTAAGGGATTATACAAAATTATTTAGTTTTACTAAACAAGGCTACTGTTATTATGGTTTTCTGACATTTTTTCAACACTACTAAGTTTTGAGTTTTAATTTCTTAATAAGAAACTTATATTAACTTATATTCTTAATATTTTCTTATTTGTTAGAGCAATTTTATTTGAAAAACAAATCATGCAATAATTTTTTTTTACTGTTGTAATTTTTTTGTTTAAATCTTGTCATGAAATTTATTTACAGTCAAAAAATTACATTTTGAAAAAAAAAAAAGTCACAACGTTATTTTTCCTTTATACCTACTCAATAAAAATTATAGTCATTAAAATCACAATAGAACTATTTTTTTTTTTTTTTTTTGTAAATTTATGACTTAACAGAAATTTAAAAGTTGTAAAGCTCCTCTTTATATTGTACGAGAAGTTGGTACAGGAAAAAAAATTTTCGATATTTCTAAAATATGGTGCTTTGACGAAGTTCATGATAAAATAATACGAAATAAAGCGTTAAAGTTTTCAGAAAAATCCAGTAATAATTAGATTAAAAAATATTATAATTTTTAATATATTCAACTCAATTTTAACAAAATTAAATTTTCAAATTTTTGAAAATTCACTTTTAAGAATTACAGCAATAAAGCTTTTCAGATGAAAAATAAATATAAATTGGTTCTCAAACCATATTTATGCTTCTTAAAATTAAATTATTTTTCAGAAGCATGTTATGATAGGATAAATTACTATTAATTCTAAAATGCTCATAGTTTTTTTTTTTCTTTTTTTCGTAAGGAAAATCCGTATATATAGGTGTCATAAATTCGCATTTACATTGCACATTAAAAATAGTTTTTTTTTTCCTTACTTAAGTTTCTCTGTAATCCTAAGAAAAATATTATATTATATTTCCGTTTCGAAAAACAAAATAAGTACATACAAACATATCAATAAATGAGTGATGTAAGAAAGATATTAAGCTGACGGCTAATATATTAATTAATAATTGAAAACAAACAATGAAACATTGAAAATGAAAACAATATTTAATATACTCTTACCGTGCCTGTCATTGCTGTCTTCTTCTCTTGCACGATCTTCTTTGTCAGTTAGCACACTGGATGGGGAGGACGTACCCCCGCTTGCGGGCCGAGGTGGTGGTAAAAGCAGTGGCGGCCCCTGAGACAAACTTAGCCCCATTGCTGAATGAGCAAGGGCTAGACCTGGAAACATATGTGGGGCTGAAAGTCTGTCTACTACACTATGTAAAGAACGTGGACCTCCTGGTCGACTGGCTAATAGGTGGGGAAAACTACTCACTGATGCTGATAAAGGTCTGTCTGGGTTAAAAGACTTAGAAACAAATTCCGTTAGTTGCTCCATCAAGGACAAGCGGAAATAACACCGAAAATTGTTTTATGATAGTTTTAGAGATTACAAGCGGTAAGTGAAATCCTTATTGATGCATTTCACAGTAATCTGTGAGACAATGATTTGTATGGGAAGGATTTTTAAGCGTGGTGAACTATATAGAAAAATTTTTGATATTGTAAATTAGTTGTTTATTGAAAACTTTTGCAAATTCAAGAACAACCGGTTCGTCAAAAGTCTATTTAAATATCCATGTCGCAGAAAAATGTATTCGAGAATATGGAAAATTTAATAATAGATGCCATTTTTTTATGAAAAATCTTTTGTTTGATAATAATTTAGATTAAAATCTAAGCCCCTTAAAGTTATTAGAATAAAGTTTCCAAATTAAGATGTTTATTTTTATTATCTTTTCAAACAACACAAATCCACACGTGGTTTTCGGCAACTTTTATGTTCGTTTGATATATTGCTGACACCAACAGCTCGTTTCGACTACTGTCCGAACATTCTGATCGCGTTTTGACTTTTGCAACATCACCGGAAGTGGGTGGGGTTTGAAGGGGCGGAGTTTAATGACGCAACGTATCGCTAAACCAGCCCACTTGAGAATTGGTCTTCTATTTTTCTTACGGGTCGTTTCACTCATTCGATAAACGCTCTCGCATTGTGCGACGTAAATGAAGTGATTGCGTCCGCATATCCGATAATTAGGCTTTCAATTTTATGAAGACAAATTGCGCGTGTGAATAATTTTCTTTTCTTTTCAATTGTTTTTGAAGAAGAGATGGTAATAGATTTAATTTGATTTATCTTGTCAAGAAGATAAATAATGCTCTCAATTAAAACACGCTAAATGTAATAGAGTATAAGAAATTAAATAGCATTATTTGATGGAATTAATAAGTCAATGCAGAATTATTTCATTCTTACAGTTTATTTTACGTGTTTAAAAAAAACTTTTGTTTTATTTTTCGCTTTATTATTTAATCCAAAATCATAATATAATGTTGGTGAATCAGTTTTTCCATGTTTTATAAGCGATCAGAAATACAAGGTATTCCGCACAAACCGCCATTTATGTCCATTTTTTGAAAACCATTTTAAAAAGAAACCAAACTTATCTACACATTAAAGATATCAATTAAAAAAGCAGAAAAACTTTATCAAAATCGGATGAATCGCATTTAAGAAAGGTTAGTCTAAAAACATTAAAACCAGTTTGATTGACGACAGAGAAAAAGGATTTCTGATAACCACCTTTTCCTTTTTTGAGTACCATATGGCCATCAAACAGGGTTTAATATTTCAACACTGCCCTCTTCAATAGTGTTTAGTAAAATTGTCAGCAACTCTTTTCTCTATCCAGTCTTTAATATTAGATTAAGTGAATAGAAATTTGACTTATTTTTTCATAAGGATTCAAAAAATATATATTAAGAGTAGTGATTACGAAACACCCTGTATACTTAATAAAATGTGTAAAGCACTCTATAAATATAATTTCTCTCTTAAAATGTGAAGGGGAGATACCAATTTTTTTACATGCTCTATGTTTATTCAATCTAAAAACATGTTTTTTAGATTGAATTCAATCCTGACATAAACATTTACATTTTTCAATCTTTTTAAAATAACCTTCAGCTAAAATAATTATTTAATAGTGCAATATTTGAATTATTTTTGATCTAGAATGTCTTTTTATTTGTGGGGAGGAAAATATTTTTTTGCTTGTTTAATGCTTAAAACGTCTGTTCCAATATTGTCCTTTCATTAGTTCACCAATAAACAATTTTATTTTTATATTAGTAGTACAGAACCCGTTATCTGGAAATCAGAAAACCGGAAAACCAAAAAACCGGAACGAAATTCAATAAATTTTCTCGCCATTATTTAAAAAAAATTTTTTTTTCCTCATAAGATTTTAGGATTTTTCTTTCTTTTTCGAAAGATGTTTACCTTACAATCATTTTGGAAATAATCATTAGTGTATTACTTCATCGTTTTTTCTTCTTTTTAAGATTATTTCCAAATATTTTTTTTTTTTAGTTGAGTTTAACAATAAAAAAACAGCTTTTTGTAGCGATTCAGAAAACCGGAAAAATCAGTTATCCGGAATTGCGATGGTCCCGATCGTTCCGGATAATCGGTTCCCTACTGTACTAACCAACTCTAAAAGATAATTTTTCAAACAGAAAAAGCTTATCATTTGATTAAAAATTGGAAATGAAAATTGAATCGAAAATAATTCGTATTTTACTATTCATAAGAAATTATTTCTACATTTTCTAAGAAAAAGTATGACGAATTCTATGAAGTTTTTTCAGATTTTTTGCTTGTCTATGAAAACAAACGCTTCAAGGTTGTACTAGATTACTGTACTAGATTTAAAATCTATCTTTTTAATTATTTTAATAAATGCTTTTAGATATTATTATTTTAATCACTTTCATTTCATTAAAAGAGTTAATTATTACCATAATTTAAATATCTCATGTCCGATAGTTGAAAAAATACAAAAAATGAATTAAATAATTAATATTTATTTTAATGACATATGTGAATATTTTTAACAAAACTTTTTAGAAGTAAATTGACGCCCGGTCGCGGTAGCGCTTCACGTTGTCGTGCCACAGGTCCCTGGTTCGATCCTCGGGCCGGGCAAGGTTGACTCAGCCTTTCATCCCTTCAGTGGGTCGATAAATGAGTACCAAGCATGCTTGGGAACTAAACACTGGGGGTTCCGCGTTCGGCTGGCCACCTGACCGGAACATCTGATTCAGCATCCCAGAGCCCAAGGTCAAGAAAACTGAGATGGGCACAGTAGGCCTTGGCCCTCTAGGGCTGTCGCGCAGCTGAGTTTAGTTTGGAAGTAAATACTGTAATTTAAATTTCAAGATGTATTAAGAAATTTATTAAAAAAAATACAATAACTAAAATAAAATAAAATTTAAATTAATATTATTCGTAGTTAAAGATAAATGTAAGAGAAAAGGAAATACAGTGATAAAATAGAAAGTTTTTAAAAAATAATACTAGTTATTTAATAAAATTTATTCACTTACAAATAAATTAATTTTCTTAAAAATTATAAAATTAAAAAAAGGAAAGAAAGTTTAAATCTTTGAATAATTCCGATACATTTGCTAGTTATAGTAAAAGTTATAGTAAATCATAAATCTTAATATCATTAATTTATAACTTTTGATATTATGTATTAAATTATGAAAGTGATTAATAGAAAAGTTTATTTTTTTTGGAGGGGGGGGGGAATAGAATGACGAAATATTTCGTTAATTTTGACGAAATTCGTTTCCTGTGGAGGAAGTGATGATAGTTATTTCACTATGGTCACTTTGGCTCAAAATGGTCACCTTGACAAAATGTTCGTCCTTAGTCATATGCCAGGAAACGGGTTCGTCAAAAATTATGAAAATTTCTTGAAATTTGAGTGTCCATTTTTTACAGTGTTATGTTTTGACTATGGAGAGCTAATACGGTAATATTTTAACTAGAGGATTCTAGTCGCCCCCGCTCACCAACGCCAAAAAATGCTTCGCAATACTTATTGCTTATTTTCATAAAACAGTTTTTTCCACGAAAGCAAAAATAATTTACTTAAAATATATGTACTAAAAAGTTTATTCGCTTACACCTGTACCCCTTCTTCCTCAAAAATTTCCATTGTGATTCTATTAAGGGGTCACAGAACCCAAAAAATGACCAAAATATCGATATTTTTTTATTACTTATAATAAAACTTCAAACTAGTTCAAATGCACTGAAAAAAAATCTCTACATTTTTAAAAAAGTTATGAATGATTTTATATTGCCCTAAAACAGAAACTTGATCAGCAGACTTTAAAGTGCTTTTTCTCTCAGATGATAATTTTGTGTTTTAATCTTAATTAAATCCCTAAGGAATTTTTTCTATTTAAGATGATGCAAACTTTTTCATCTCAAGTATAATACACTTATTTAAATTGTGCGTGGAATAAGCATTTTATGAGGTATTACAATTTTTACAGCATGTTATATATATCTAACAGGAGTTTTTAACCTTTTTTTTCTGCTTCTTTTACAAAATAGTCTATAAAAAGTGTTCTAATTGATATATCAACAAATGAATGCACTAAATTGTTAAGATGAATATTGTAAGCACTGAGAAAAAAAAATGTTTTGAAAATATGTTAAAATAAAAAAGTCTTAACATTTTAAAATTTTTGCATTTTTTCAATTTTTTTTTAAATTTAAAAAAAAATTAAACAGTTTAACTGTTTTTTGAAGTTAAATTACTGATTATAAATTAAATGAACATGTAAAGCATCCCCAAAATGAATGATTATTCTCTTATTTTAAAAATAATGCTGCAAAAGTACCGTGACCCTTTAAGATCCATTACTGAACATATATTATGTAACATAGTAATCAGTTTTTAAAACAACATTTAAAGGTAAATTGTTCTTACAAATTTGGTGAGTTCACTACCTTAATTAAATATTTTCGCTTTCCAACCAAGTTGATAGATTTTATACAATTTATGCATGCATCATATTCTGCGTGAAACTGATCGTTAAATTCTTTATAATTTAACGAATCTTTTTAACTGTTATTTATAATTGTATATCAATGAAATGTTCACCTAAAAATAAACGGTTGTAAAATGGTTAATAAGTTTAGACAAAGTCTTACAGTAAGTTTATTTGAAAATGTAGCGCAAGACAAAATAATAGTTTCACTTTTAACGATGCATTTTTTTTTAAAAAAAAAAACGTTTTCTGAACATTTAAGTTAAAGAGTACAAAGAAAATTTACTAACCTTAAAACGAAAGATTTAAAAAAATTATCAAATGAATTTCCAGTTCAAGAAAATAAGGGTTATAAAAAGAAGAAAAAGTGAACAGAACCCCTTCTGTCTTCAATTTATTTAACATATTATATATATATATATA